GCTCGTTCGGGAAGTTGCCCGGCAAGCAGCCCCGAAGTCAGGGTCAGAGCGGCCCGGGTTCCACGGGCGCATTCGAGGCGATGGCTTCAGGGCGCCAGCCTCTTCGCGAGCGGCTTCGGGGACCGCTCGATTCAGTGGGCGCGGTTGACGGCAGCGGGGACTAAAGCGACCAGGGCATCGGGCGCCATTCTGGCCCTCCACGCCCGCGCCAGACCTCCAGCAGACATGGCGCCTCGGACCGAAGGCTCTGCCCAGGACCGAAGCTTTGAACGAACGGCCCGGGCGCGGCGGCGCGGGGCCCCCTCGCCAGGGGCCCAGCGCGAGGAGGTCGACGCCCAGTGGCCAGCGACCAGCGAATTCTGGAAGGTCACAAGCATCACCCCATTCGACGTTCGACCCCATTCAGGCTCCGCGAGCAGCAGCCGCTTGGCGACGAGGGTGTCGAGGCGGTCACCCACCTCCAAGAGTCGAAATCGGGGCGAGCGGCCCAGATTCGTTGCGAAAGCGGGTTGTCGTCCCTATGTCCGACAGCGGGTTGCTGCCGATCGCGCTCTCGAAGGCGCTGGCGCGCGTCCGCGGGCGACGCCTGCGCCCGCCGGCGCAGCAGTGGGGGGCCGACCGCGACGGGCCTTGCCGGCGGGCCATCGCTAGCAAAAGCTGCGACAGAGTCGCGCGGCAGCAGCAGGCGCGCGCCGCATGGGCCCTCATGGTGGAGGCGGCCCATGCGAGCCAGGACGTGGCGCTGGCCTCGCCATGGGAGGCTTTCGAGCAGATCCGCCGCGGGCGGCATGTCAGCTCCTGCAAGCGGCGCGGGCCCCCCTCTGGCTGACCAAGCTGCAGGTCGGCCTCTATAGGGTGCTGCGGGCTTCCTGCGCAGGGCGTTGGCAGGCGACGCGTTCCCGACCGCGCTCGCGATGGTTATGCTGCTCTCCGCGCCGGGCGCGCGCTCGAGCGGTCGCGGTTTCGGTCGTGGGCGACTTGGCGCCGCAGAGCGGGGGGTGCGCTCACTGCGCGGTGGGGGCGGGGGCGGGGGCGGGGGCGCGGCGACCAGCGCCGGGGCGCTGGTTGAGGGGCTGGGAGGGGTCGCGCTCAGGGCGGCGGCGAAGATGTCCCGGGCGCAAACCAGCTCCGCCAGTTTGCGCACAGGCACGCGGGCGCGGCAGCTCAAGGGCTCGAGGGCCTGGGCGGCCGCCCGCGCGCGCGACCTTGGCCTCGATCGCGCCGGGGGCGGCCGCAAGGCTATGCTGGTTCGGGGGCCGAGGCTGGACGTGACGAAGCCACGCCGACCCCGCATCTGAGGGCTCCTCGGGCTCCGGCAGGGCCGCGGAGCAGGGGTGAAGGCCGCTTTTGCGATCGCCCAGCGCCATTTGCGGGGCGCCCTGCGCGGGGCTGAGCGAGGGCGAGCTCGGCCGGGCGCGCGCGCGCTGGCACGCGCGGCGATCGAGCCTGGGCCGCAGAGCACGTCCGCGACGATCTGCTAGGTTTTCGGTGGGCATGCTGACATCGACCCGGTCTTCTCCGTTGCGCTGGCGACGGCGGGCGCGGCCCGGGAAGGCCGGGCCCCCGTCGGCGTGCCGAAGGCCACCTTCGAGGGGCGCGCCAAGCCGGCCACCCGATGGGGATCTGGTTCGACGGCCGTGGCCGCCGCTGCGCCTCCTCTCCAGAGGTTGGGGCGCGACATCCAGAGCTTCGGGATGCGGTCCAAGCCAGAAGTGCGGGCGCGCTCAAAGTTTCGGAGGCCTCGCCGAGGCGCGCCAAGCAGGCGCTGCGCCTGGGCGCTTCGGCCGAGCAGGTGAAGCAGGTTGCGAACGACGCTCGCACGCGGACATCAAGAACGGAGCCTTCGCGAGCTATCTGAGCAGGTGGATCGCGAGGGAGTCCGCGCCCGCGACGGAGGGGCGAAAGTGGGGGCCGCTGCTCTCGGATGAGGGGGTGGCCGATGCTGCTAGGCTGACGCTGCACGCAGGCAGCGGGCGATCGCGCGGGGGTGCGAGGCGGCCCCGCGGTTGGCGCCCCCCCCCGTTCTGCCGGCGCCACCAGCAGGAGATCGGCAAGCCCCGATATCGCCGCTCGGGGCGCATCGGTCGACCTACCCGGCGAGATTGCCAAGCTCGAGACGTCCCAGACCAGCGTCGCGATCCGCGCGTTGGCCCAGTGGCCGCTGCCCCCCGAGCCCAGTCGCAGCAGGGGCTTGACGGAGCGCAGCGGCTAGAATCACCGGCTAACATGGGTCACGCGCATTCTTAAGACACAGGATCGAAAAGCGATGATGCACTAAAGCGAGAAGCGGGGCTATTCAATTGCGCCGCCGAAGTAGAACACACAACGACACATCATCTAGTAAATGCAGAAGCCGGTTCGCTGTGACCTGAGTGGCTCCTCGCTGACGGGTGCTGCTACGGGGCGGGCGCGACGCTGGCAAATGTCGGGGGTGCGCGGCGGCGGAGCTGTGCACTGAGGCGCCGAGGATGCCCGACCGGGGGCCTCGGTCGCGCGCGGA